CCCGCGAGACCTGATTGTTTAAAGGACCCTGGCACCTCCTCTCTCTCTCTCTTGCTTCCTCTAGCCATGTGATCTGCTTGTACCCACCAGCTACTGTCACTTTTCCGCCATGAGTCGAAGCAGCCTGAGGACCGTGCCAGATGCAGCTGTCCCAGAATCATAAGCCAAATAAACCTCTGTTCTTTATAAATTACCCAGTCTCAGGTAATTCTGTTATAACAACACAAAACGGACTACAACAGTAACCCATAGCCTGTGTTCTTAAAAACCCCCAGTATACAGTGGGAGCTGTCCACATTCCTTTGGGGAAGCAGCATCTCTCTAAGAAATGTCTATAGGTTTATTAAGCAACGTGAAATTCTGGGAAGTTGTACCCTGAGTGAGACTGGAAAGCAGAATGTCGAGACTTCTCAAGCCATGTCCTAGTACCAGGTCAGAGGCTGTCTATGTGGGGAGATGGAGTCTGATGTCCTGGGCCCAAAGGATGGGGGTCCTGAATACACACTTAGTGGAACAAAGTTGGAAAGGCTGCTGAACTTACCCGGAGTGACTCCTGTGGCACCTGTCCCTCAATTTCCTGTGGGGACACTCAGCCACCTACTTCATGGATGGACTCAGATGACATAACACCAGGAAAAAAATCAAAAGCCCAGTTACCTTTTCAAATGCCTAGATAAAATAGATATCTAATAAAAACCTGCTAACAATCATTTATTGTTTGTTTATATATAGCAGAAGCCTCTTTTCTTACGGGTGTTGGGGATAAGGCAGATGTTGACCTGCAGGGCTTCCTGTCTTGCAGCCCTTGTCCTGGGCCACGATTACCCTCAGTGCGACAGGGGTGGTGGTTCAAGCAAGGCACTGGGCAGCCAGGTTCTGCTGCATCTGTGTGCAAATCCTCTACACTTTTCGAAGGGCTCCTGACTCAGCAGAACCTCTTAGTTCTCAAGGAAGGACACAAGAGATCTGGACACTGACGAGTAGCACAGCCATGCCTCAGGAAAATGTGTCCCTAATGTTGATTCTCTCTCTGGCTCCCGTGTTTTTGTTTCCTCTTACGGAGCTGCCACTGGAGATGGAGCTTGTTGGTGAAGAACATCTGTTTCCAGCCCACGTCCACCGCCAGGGCCCTCATGTCAGGAGTGATGGTGTCGCAGGCCGACTGCACCATCTGCTCCCACAGTTTGTCAGACGTGCACAACTGAGGGTGGAAAGAGAGGTGGGTCACAGCACATGTGGGGTAGGTCGAAGCCGTTCACTCACTCACAAAGTTACTATCGAACTCCGGCTGCCTGTGAGACACTGCACAAAATGTGTGTGCAGCACACAGGTTCTGCCTCCAGAAACCTCCTCCTCAAGAAAGGGGGCAAGTGTACAAATACCTGCATACACATACAGCTGAAGGATAAGTGATGTTGTCAGTGCAATAAACAAAGTCCTATCTCATTTAAGATGCAAGCACACAGGTTCTGCCTCCAGAAACCTCCTCCTCAAGAAAGGGGGCAAGTGTACAAATACCCGCATACACATACAGCTGAAGGATAAGTGATGTTGTCAGTGCAATAAACAAAGTCCTATCTCATTTAAGATGCAAAATAGAGTTACAGACAATATGGCTACACAGGCAATATTATATAGTTCATTTCCAATTACCCACCTAACAGAGGCTGACAATGGTGTGGTCAACCAATCTCCCTCCCTGGGCTGCACTACTTCTTGGGGCAGGAACGCTGCTAATTCAAGCTGTTTGCATTCATGTTAAACCCTCGGTTAGGCCAGCTCTCCTCCAGTCCCCAGCTTGTACTGTTGACAGCTTCATTCACAGCGATGCCCTCAGTGATGAACTGCATCAAATGACAAAAGCAGCCCTCGGAGACTGCCAACCAGCACATCCAAAATCCACCATACCTGGTGCCAGGGTCCACAAGTGTTGTTCCGAGCCCTATGTGTGTATGACACCACACCAAGCACCAGAATGGACTATAAGATTCTGTCTACTCCTCAAGCCCAACTGGCGCATGGCAAAGTGAGCCATTCTCCAGGAGTAACCTTTGGTTCAATGTTTGTCTGCTTTCTGGCTTTAACTGAGGTCCATATGGTTAAAAACAGGCAAGACCCTCTAGCCCAATGACTATGCACAAGGCCACTTCACCTTTCCTCCAAGTTCAAAGTTGCCAAAATTCAGCTTCCATTTACCTAACGTTTCCTAGTATTACTCTCTTGGTTGGCACCATTAACTATGGCAACTACTCTTGTTAGTCTCCTGCTACCAATTACTATCAGAATGGAGATTTCCTGACCTCTTACCTAACATGCCCCCAGGTCTTTTCTGAAGTCAGATCATCAGTTATATAAACCTTGGTGATAGCTGTGGATTTTGGTGTATGCGAGAATGTGAACTTTTAAAGGTGCTTGGATATTTGGCATTACACAGTGGTAAGCCCTGGTAACACAGAAATGTGCTTTGAGAAGGCTTCCACATGGGCCTCAGCAGCGGACACTTCCTGGCTCCATCTTTTCTGTGCCACATGTGCATTTGAGGAAGTTAATCATCAACCTGATTTTCCCTTGCATCTCTTCTAGTCAGTGGTTGTCACATGTGAAAATCCAGAACTAGAAAGAGCTAGGCATACTTTGTGTAGGGACACAAAGTAACCCATGGTTCCTTTGCCAGAGCACACTGACGCAGCTCCTCCTTTCTGCTCACGGCCCCCTCCAACATGTCTCTTCTGTAGAAAAGTCCACAAGTCGCCCAGGTAAATGACTTCTCTTACAAGGAGGCCAAGAAAGGCAAGAAGCTGATGAGCCCCTCAACGATCATAGTAAGATTATCTATGGACAATGATCAGTGCAGATCACCTGCTTGTGAATAATAAAGAGAGTTGACCTTATTATTGACAAAATAAAAATTAGCTTGAACTCATTTTTACCATTGAAAATTCCTTTTTAGGAAGCAATTTAATAGGAGCACTTAAATAGGAGAAGCAGACAGGCTTGGTAATGGCTCTCAGATTCCAGAATTCGGAATCCAATGTGCTCTATTTAGAGAGGGTCAGGGTTTTAGGGACCTTAACCTTTAGAAATATAGGCATATAGTGACAAAGAGCAAAAGGCACTGGAATGGCTACAACAGCCATCAGGAACCAAAGTGCTAAATCTATGCACTTTGTTCTATGGAAAGGCCTTGACTCAGGGCCCACTCATTCTTCCTTTCCTTAGAATTTGTATTAGCTTAGTGTACAACTGTTAGCCTTTAGTAATTTAGCCACAGAAAATTAGAAAGGTAGTTGATACTATCAGAGGCAGAATACTGACCACGAAGAAGAAAGATAAGGTGAGAAATGAAAGGGAAGAAATAGATAAGAAAAAATAACTACAAATTAAAATCATTGCAGCTTGGGGCCATTTAGTGTGGGGGTAAATTGCCCCACAATTTTCAATAGCCTATTCATTCATTCATCCATCCAAACTGTATGACATGCCTATTGCACTGGACAGGGCTCTTAGTTTCAGACTACAGAATATATTCTAGGTTGTTTATGCACAAGGGATTCAGCAGAAGTAATAGGTAGCTCACAGAATATCTAGTAAAGCCAGAGGAAATGGTTCAATATTAAACAGCCAGGAAAAATAGCAGCCAGATTAAAAAACAAAACAAAACAAAATGCAGACTGTTCCAGTAGAAATCCTACTGTTTCTGTTCCCCAACACAGCACCTATGCTGCTATGAAGTCTTGGGCTACATGCTAGAACCTCCGCTTGAGCCTCTGCCCACTGTTCCAGTAGAAATCCTACTGTTTCTGTTCCCCAACACAGCACCTATGCTGCTATGAAGCCTTGGGCTACATGCTAGAACCTCCGCGTGAGCCTCTGCCACTGTGCTAGTGAGAGCGGCCTCCACGCACACGAAGGCTGCCTCACCTTGCTCACGTCTTCCTTCTGAGATTTTTGCAGGGAGGTCTACTTGACAGAGCCTCAGCCACATCTGATGCATGAGTCTCAAAGGGACTGGGAAATGTAGTTTTCATCTCTCTAACCTCTGCAATTCACAAAGGCAATTTTGTTTTACATAAGGGAGTTGAAATGGGTGTTGAGCGGGTCAATCCACAGCATCTTCCTCAGTCTTAACTTCTAGCCCATCTCGTTCACACACACACTTCCTCCCACACATAAACTTCCAAATGACAGCAGTAGCAATGACATGCTCCCAACTAACACAAAGCAACTCTCCCTCACACCAGTGAAAACATGTTTATTCTTTACCTTCATCCCCACCCCACTCTTGCCAAGTGCATTAGTCACTATAAACCTCTGGGTGATGTTTGTTACCTCTAGTTAGTCCCAATTTACCTTTATATCCTGTGCTCTAGAATTATAAAGTTCATCAACACCAATTTACCCTATATAAAATAGTAGGAAAAGGGAGGGAAAAAAAACCAGCCTGCAGATAAATGTACATATAACTGAGCAAGGAAGAAAATGTGGATAGCTGCTATAGTCCCGAGTTGTGCAACTGGTCACAAGGCAGTGATTGTATTTATAATTTTCTCCCTCTACTACCCATTTCATCTTCCCTTTGTCTTCAGCCAGTACCTCAACTTGTCAAGACTGTACCTGGTGATGTGATCCAAACCTTCTACAATTCCTGCAAGGCGTGAGCACTTCTTGGCCTTGAATGTAGAAGATGCTTTATTTACTCTTCCATTAGCTTTTGCCATTGGACATGCCAATATTAAAAGGTACCTGCAGGGATTTTCTGCATTCCAGAAATACTCTTCCCTAACTCCATTGTGAACCAGCAACTCTATTTCTCCTTGATGAGCAAGATGAATAACCTGAGCCAACACAGAAATGCCTTTCCCCCATTTGTCCAGTGGCACTGGGAGCACCCAGATAGTCTGGTGGCAATCTCAATTCCTAGCTCACTGGAGTCACTGTTGTTCTTCAGGGGAGAGCATTCATTCTTTGACTACTGAGACCCGTAACCTAGCGGAACCTGAAGTTGTGGAGAAGGAAGTAACGTTTTTCAAGGTGGTGATTATGTGTGATTCTGCAAGATACTACGCCCACTTCCATCCTTTGGTTCTAGCTAAAAAACAGAAAGGACTATGCACTGGTCACTAGTCGAGAGCCTATATCACATCCTTTAAGACTACACCTCAACCTTGTTAAATATTGTCTATTAAACAATGAGCTGAAAGGTGTCTCCCATATATGCCTCCCTTACTCTCTAAGGCCAGCTATTTCTGGATGGTGGGGTATATGCTAAGACCAGAAAATTTTGTGAGTGTCTGCTCATTACTTTATTTATGTATTTGTTAGTTTATTTATTTGTCTGTTTGATAAATAAATTTATTTCCTGCAGTAAAATAATCAGCAATCTTG